TAAAATAATTTTGTATCCATTTATTCTATATAATAACCAGAATTTGTTTCAGCAACCTGTAAGGAAAGAACGGCTAATAACTAAGCGTATTAGCGGTCGTAGTGCTCTGAAGAGAAGATGAAAATGATTTTTGTTTAGTTTTTTGTGCACGACCAGACTTACACATCTACTATGCGGCTCCCAGCACTTCTCACATTCAATTTGTTTCCTCGCATCCATTGCCCGCGAAGATCTTTCAACTTTACGTTTGCCTCGTCTGCTTGGCGATTTTCATTTCATCTTGAATGTTCTTGAATGCTGGTAGAGTCGATTCTCCCTAGAGACCTGATATAGCCAAAGAGCATTCCCACTTGAACAGCAGAGAGTCACTTTTTCCTGGACAAGTCCGGTACCAATTTTCCGACCCCGAATAGATGAGTGATTTGATGAGCAACATAATCCCCTCCTGTGCTGAAGTTTGGATCGAACCAGCATCGTGCTTGTAATGATACAAGGACAACATAATCTGTCTTGCTTACTATTTAACAATTCGAAGGAAAGTTTATCAGTGGATGAGGACAAAACCAATAATGATGAGGTCTACGCTGAGCGATCAAGTAAACGTAGTGCTTCATGACCCATCGTAGAATGGTCATTTGGAGTGAATCCAGTTACTTCTACTTCGGTGCACGAAACCAGCACAACGCTGAGGATGGGTGCTATTTGGAATCTTTTTGCGGTAGAGATATGGAGAAGGGAGGAATAGGTTGTGAGAACAGCAATTGCTTACAGCAAAGACCTTGATTCTGCTAGGATTTGTTAAATTACTTCCGTTGAGAGGTTGGTGAAATTCATGCTAAATTCATGGTTTTGATACGGCCAAGCTATAAGTGGAAGCGGTCAATCAGATAGCGTATTATTCTCCGCAGATATCTCGGAGAAACTTAAAAGAAAAAGGCGACGTATAATGTTCCCTTATTCCGTATTTTAAGTATGCGTGACTTTTCTTGCACTTAATAATTCAGAAGTGTTTACTAAATTATGCAAGATCTACCGTGGGTAAAATAAAACAAGACGAATGTGTTGAACCACCAAATCTCCCTTCCGAAATCCGATATGCCATTCCGTTGGTGGGAAGTCGAACAGCGGCAGGTTCGGATAGGATAAGACCAGAACACCTGAAGAACCTTCCACCAGTCCTTGTAAACACGCTGGCTAGGCTCTTTACGCGCTACCTGTCTGAATGCAAGGTCTCTACTCAATGGAAAACCAGCAAGACCGTACTAATGTTCAAGAAGGCTGACCTCCATGATATCGGCAACTATCGCCCAATCTGCTTGCTGTCTGCGGTCTAAAAACTTTTCATTCGAGTCATCCCAAACAGGATTGACAGAACACTGGACAAAGGGAAGACTTGTGAACAAGCAGGGTCTTGAAATAGATTTAACACGACGGATTACATCCACACGATAACAAGACTCGTTGTAGTATTGCGAGAGTGCAAAACACCGCTGTCTTACTTTCATCGACATAAAGAAGGAAAGTTGTGGAAACGAGTAATAGTCAGGGAGTTCCTTCTCACTATATAAAGATTCTTGGTGAGCTGTACAAAAATTTCACAACCAAGATATCATCGTTCTACAACGATATTAACATTGATGCCAAAAGAGGAGTTAGGCAAGGCGGCACCATCTCGCCAAAATTATTTACCGCCGCCCTCCAGAACGTCAGGCGAACATTGGAATGGGATAATATGGGGGTGAAAATCGATGGTCGGTAGTTACACCATCTTCCCTTGCTGATGACATCGCTCTCGTTATAACATCAAACATTAGCGAAGCGGAACGTACGCTTGACGACTTTGATAAAGCCTGTGAAAAGATTGGTCTTCGAGTAAATCTCACAAAAACGATTTTGAACAGATTGGCTTCTTATGCCTCATTCACGTTCAACGGAACGAATATCTCCGAATGCTCCAATTAGTCTGTCTAGGTCGGTAAATCAATATGGTGAACGACTTAGCTCCAGAGTTGAGCAAAGCCACTTGCGGTGCTTTCAAAAACATAGAGGATGCAGTGAAGGGAACAGAGAACACTCGACTCCGTGCCCATCTTTTCGACTCAACGCTACTACCTGAGTTAGGTCCGGAGTTTTGCAAATATCTGAGCTTCATTGTGGCTGTATCTCCTGTATTGTGGTTGAAATACGAGACCGCTGTTAGAGCATTTATTAACACACAATAGCTGACGTTTCCGCGGTTTTGTCTTCTTCAGAGCGTGGAAAGGTTAAATGGACATGCAATCTACGCAACCAAACACTTTCATAACTTCAGCAGGTAGAATTTGACACATAAATTTTTATTCGCATAATAAACAGCTTTTTTTGAACATCCATCATTTTGTTTTTTGTGTCTCCCAGTTATTTGGTGGAGATCAGCCGCCCAGAATTAATACATGAGCGAGTAATGTGGCTCGGTTAGGTCATAGAATCGGCCTGAGTAATGACGCGAGCTCACACGTGATAACAAGATATTGCTCCTTACGGTTCATTTTTGGATCTTTGAAATTTATCCAAAACCCATCAGAAGTTTACACGTTGATTCCTGTGCGAGGGTAGTGACTTTTGTTTCAAAATGTTCTCCGATACGTTCCTGTGTCCCACGCACTCCTACTGGAGTATTTGTTTCACCTCAAGTTTACTGATTAGCTGTTCCTCTATACTGATGCGCAGTGATCTACCCGTTTCTCCAATATATTCTTTTCAGGCCGCTTTACAAGAGATTTCGCACATCGAACCCGAAGTCACACAATCACTGTCTCTACCGTTGGGGCATATTTTGCAATTATGCGTTTTGCATAAACAGCCATACAGGCGGTTATGAACTAGCTGGTTTCTTAGAGTGTTTGGAGGTATTGCAGTGACTGTTATCAAATTCATTACACCGGCGCTTTTTAAGCAATATATTACAGCCATATTTATTTTTAAATGGAAGGCGGGATAAATGGGACTTTGTCATCGCTAAGCTCATCGGTTGTGGAAGTTGTTTTTCTTGTACATCTACCCTGAGAATCTATAGCTTCGTAACCACTGAAAATGGCTATATGCCGCGCCAATTTCAAGAAATCTTTCTACCGCTCTCTTGCTGTGCGTACACAAGTGGCTATTCGAAACATGTTTCCAATAAGCACCCTTTTTTGCGTGAAGGATGAGACGAGGGGTAGTGAACAGCATGTTTCTTGGCCTTCGGTACCACTTGGTGATAAAGCCGTTTTTGGATAGGTTGATTCGAACACTAAAACTAAAGTAGACATTACATTTGAGCTCATCTGTTGCTGTTTCCTTCCCATATGACGGAAGGTGGACGTGGCTATCGAAGAGATCTGAGTAGTACGCGCGAATGATTTTTCCCATTGTTTTTCTGGACGCTGTAACTGTTCGGTCTGGGTGCAGGAGTACAACCATCTTGGTCTTGTAATTGGCGAAGCATCCATGAGCTTTGCGAATACTTTTCACAGCCAGTGCAGCTTCGACCATTACTGCTGCTCTTCTCTCTTTAAGATCTTCTTTTATCTCCTCTCTTAATTGTTTTGTAAGTTCTGACGTTAGTTCGCTGTTGTTTGCATCGTCCGATTCCAAGCTGGCGTATCAGCTTGAATGTTTCTGGCAAGAGACTGTAACGAAATGATTAGCGGCGGAGTGTAGCGGTTCAGATTGATGTAGAATATTAGCCACGCGGGTCTTTTAGTTGCTGCAGTCGATCTACCAACCTCAAACTCAAACTTGGGTAATTAAACCTTTAATACATCAATACAACACTAATTACATAATAGTAACGATAGAGAAGTAATGGTAGAAGAATGAGACAAGTTAGAGCTCTGAGGTGCTAAGGCCTGTAGTGAAGTGAGGCTAACAATGAGGCAATGGCATTGAAACATTAATACAATATTAACAATAATAATGAGATTACAACGAATTAGTCTTTGGTTAGTCGTAAGTGGCCGGTGCAGTGGCTGAGGGAGACAGTATAATGAGGTGGTGAGGGTTACAGACTGACCGTGTTTCGGCCAAGCTAAGATTTCAAGATTTCAAGATTTTTTTTTTATAGCGATGAGGAGCATTTTAGTGGATCGATGAGGACTATAAGTTACATGAACATTGACGGTGCTATGAACAGTGAATGATGAGTCATCTAGGGAACACAGGCGGCTGGTCGTGAATAACGCAAATGTCAGCAACGTGAACTTTGAGCATCGCTGGGTGCCACCATTTCCTAAGGGTAAGGGCCAGTATAATGAATGGCTACAAAACTGATAAGCCTATAGCGGCTTAGCAGAATACATAGCATAAGTTGGCCGCTTAGCGGCATTGTACGCATTGCGTACATTGTGGGAGGGATGGTACATGCCACTGATGGCGTTGCAAACAGAACGCATTTGGAAACACCCGCCACTACTGACATTGCACCGCCGACAAGCTGAGAAACGAGATACAATAATCTGCTGATTACTGAAGGATGAATGTGAATGTGTGAATGAATGTGATTGAATAAGAATGAGTATGACTAAGAATGAGTTGGGGTGATTGAGGATGATTGAGGATGATGTTGTGAGAAGCGGATCATCCGCGCTACCGATCGGAGGTAAGGTGAGTGATGGCATGTCTCCGCCGTCGACGGCACCTGGCTTATACTGGCTGCGGGAGCCGCGAGCGTATGCAACCGCGGTTAATCTGGATTGTTGATCCTGGACCGCAATAGACTGTACCTAACTCCCTGAAACACTAAATGTCATTGGCTTCGTTGTTTCGCAAGGAAGTAGTAAACTGTTCCACTGTTACGCCTCCTTCGGATAAGCTATCGTCGGTATGTTACTGAAGTCAAACCTGAATCGTTATTGTGCCTGAAACACTGAACATAATTGATGGAGAAGATTACAAAGGTTACATTGCGGTGTTTAATGTGCGACTGCGAGGCGGCCATATTTGGACTTCAAATACTATTATTTAGATAGATAGAGAACTTTTCAATAGAGAAGTTTCCTACAGAGACTTCTCTTGGTGACTGTCGAACCCTCAGCTCTCATAGCGCTAACGTGAAGGTGTTGAATGAGCCGATCGCATTCCTCGTCGATGTTGTCTGTAACGGCATCTTTCCAACAACCGACTAATAAATTGAATATATCCCAGTTTATGGTGGTTTTGGCACTTCGGTTTTTGAATTTAGCGGCTTCTTCTCCTTTCCGCGAAAAATAGAATCTTGCGTGAAGGCGGCGACAATCTAATCCCATGTAGAATCTTGGGACAACAGCGCCACCGGTTAGGTAAAACCTTCGGTTTACTACAATGTGGTCTATTTTGTTATGGTACTCTCCACTGGAAGACTCCCACGTCCAGCGTTGAAGGTGGGGCTTCTGGAATTGCGGGTTACCATGGATGGTCTTGGTCGCCACGATCAACCCAGACGGCTGCTCACCCTGTTCATTCCATTCTAATCCGTGGGTTCCACTGTGACGTTCTTCAAACGTTCTTCTTGGTCCAATCTTAGCGTTGAAATCTCCATTGATGACCTTGAAGAAAGTGTGGTCTTCTCTGTAGATCTTCTCCAAGTCCATATAGGACGCTTCGATCTCCTCTTCGTCATAGTTTGATGTCGGCGCGTAAACGACGAAGACTCTCATAGCCGGTGTTGATCCACATCTCTTCAATCGTGTACGTCCGATTCGGGTTGTAAGTTGTTCGAATGAACCGATGTTCATGGACAAACTCATGTTTAGAAAGACGCCGACTCCACTTTTGTCGCATGTTCTGAGGAAAAATTCTTCACTGGTGTCATAAACACCGCTGAATAGGTGACGTCGCCTCGTCTCGGCCAGTTCGATGACGTTTTACTTGATCTTTCTTGTTTCCATGATCAACTATTCTATCGAGTACTCAGGAAACTCGAAAGACCGACTTTCTATAAACCTCTGCATAGATAATTGATATATTTATTTATATGATCTTATAAACTGATCACTTCTTAAGCTGACGCAAGGTTGGTACAGGTTTTCGTTGTCGTTGTCGTTGTTTTTGATGTTGTTGGTCGATGGCTGACGTTTCGGCGACTTGGCCTTCCTCAGAGCCTGGACATACTTTATATTAGAACATTTTTATTATTCGGTGGAAAAAAGGTTAAAGTATTAATGAAGATCAAACTTTCAAATAGACGCCATATTGAACAGAAAGGCCACTCACCGTGATGTTACGTGTGGGATCGGCCCACACGTAGTTCACATGGGGTCGCGAGTAAGACACACCCCGAGGTCAAAATATCATTTTGAAACAGGGTGCCAAGTAACGCGTGATAGTGAGGCATTCGTCCTTCCAGTTCATCTTTGGATTTTTTAAATTTATCGAAAACGCCTCAAGAGTTTTGCGCGTTGATGTTTTTGATTCCTGCGCTAGGATCCGCACATTCACTTCAAAATCATCGCCGTTGTGCTTTTGTGCCCTATGCGTACCTAGAGAAGTGTTTAGACGGATTTTAGCTTTTCCATCTAA